CTTCAAGTACATGTTACAACTGCACACAAATGGGTCCTTCTATGATACAGCTCTTTGCCTATTTTTTTCACTCATTATGTCTCTGATATCTTCTAATGTCAACAGAAAAGATCTATGTGCCATTTTTAATGGTTGCATAGTATTCTGTTTTATGTATCATTTCCTTAACTAGCTTCCTGTGGATGCACATTTAAGTCATTTCCAGTTGCTCTCATTATTACAAATAATGTCGTAATGAGCATTCCACTGTGCTTTGAAAATGTCTTGACAAATGTCCCTGATCACATAGGATCATAATTATCCATGTGCCTGTCTTTCCTACTAGACTATTATTAGTTCCCTGAGGGCAAAAACCATTATTTCTCTTGGAATCTCCAGAACCTTGCAGAGTGCCAGTAGGAGCTTCATATATATTGTTGAGAGACAGCGGGAATAAATGAATGGATGTTTATATAGTTGGGTACACATGTGTATCATCACACATGTCTTCAGTTCTTATTCAGTTTCTCATTGGCCTCGTGCCTCATATCTCTTAGGCATTATACAATTCTCTACTTGTTTCTAACCTCTTTTTACAGATGTCATTACCACTGATATTAATTCAATATGTAGCTTTAAGAATTAGAATATTGCCAAACCGTGACTCCCTGATAGATTTTGGTGGCCTCTGGAACAGATTTTATAAATTGCAGAGAAAAAAATGCAGATACCTGACACTCTTTTCCCTTCCCTCAGCAGAGATGAGTTCTTAAAACTGAAATTGTCAATTACAAGAAAAAACACATGATATGTGTGTTGCATACTATTTACAGCTGTTGTCTGTTATGGGATCTCTGGAGCATCATTTACTGCTACAACTGAATGGTCCCATAAGTTTAACTCACCAATACGACTGCAAAATTGTCTTAAATCACAGAGAGGAAGAGAGGAAAATCAACTAGAAGTGGCTAAAATGCTGCTGATGCCTTCTTGAGAACTCACAGTTTTCCTCATTTGCTTCTTCAGGATGCTCAGAGCAGCTTGTTAGGTCTTATGGTGTATTACAATATAGCAGATTATGAGCCCGAATTTCCAAAGGGAAGAAACATACTGTTGATGTCTCTTTGCAAGGGCTGCATTTGGTTTCTTGACTAATGCACTACGCTGTATTGGGTATCAGGTAATGGGAGCCAACTGGCCCAGACAATGAGAGTATTCAGTTGGTGTTGAAAATTTACAAGAGCTTAAGTTATTTTTTATTTCTTCTTGCTGGGCTGGGAGCACTTACTATTGTCGTTCAATATGCTGTAAATGAACATAGTTCAAAAACTACAAAGAGAGTGATATGGAATTATAGAACTGAAAATAGGCTACTGATTGGGTACAAATTCATCAAGCCTCTTTATTTCTCAACAAGCTTTTTATTGGAGTGCCAAAACAGCTTGCTTTGGAAGGCGTGAAAATGATTGTGACAAATGATATAGCGGGAAAGTTAACCTTCAGTTAACTTCAACTGTGCTCAGCTAGCTAACTGAGATATATCTCTCCCCACCCCCAAAATGCTAGTTAGTAAGTTCTAGTTAGGAAATAATTAGTTTGACATGCAGAACACCCAATCCAATACTGAATTTCTTCAGAAACTTTTGTAATATCTCAGGTAGAAAATGGTGTGACTGGAATTTGAACTCTGGAAATATGGCTCTAAAAATTGTTCTCTGCTCCAGTAGGCCATACTGTTTCTGATTAAACAAATACTTGATTTACGATAATGTTAGAATTGTTTTCCTGAAGCACAGTCTTTGGTATGTCTTTCTCCTGCTGAAAAACCACTATTGACTCTATTTCTTAAAGTAGTAGTTCTCAACTGTTCTTTTCTGGACAAACATTTCAAATATTCTTATTACAACTCCATCTTTCACTCTTTTCTTCCAAATCCAGAAAGCACACCTGAATCTATGCCATTCAAGGTAATATTATTATAGGGAAGACTTTAAATCTATTCTTGTAATCATATAAGTTATCCTAGAGTTTAGCAGGATGTAACAGAAATGTGACAACCTTGGGCTAGCCAAATAGTGGTTTATTGGTCTCAAATAGCCAGAAGCATTGAAGAAACTAGTGAAGATGCAATGTAACTGCTTAAGGAATTTTTCAAGAATCCAGGCTCTTTCTACCTTTATGGTCACCATCTTATCATGTGACTTTGATTCTCAAGTTGGCTTTCTCATCTGAAAGTATCATATCTATGTTCAAAAAAGGAAGAAGAAGGGCAAGGATGAGACACAAAAACCAAGAAGGCACCTTCCAGGTGAAATTGTGCCCTTTAATCAGTTTTGCAGAAAGACTCACCTCCTGCTATCATTATATCTCATTGGTCACAATTCTGTCACATGGCCACTCCTACCTACAAGAGGATCCACAAAGCTGGGAGTTCTTTCTTTCCCCACACACATCAGGGGTTCTAGTCGTAAGAAAGAAAGGCTGTTGGGCAGGCAACCAGAAGTTTGTACCATATTTGTATGTGTGTGTGTGTGTGTATATATATACACACAATATGTATTACATGCCATCAAGTCAACTTCGACTCCTGGTGACCCTATAAATGAGTGATGTCCACAATGTCCTGTCCTCAACAGCCCTACTCAGTTCCTGTAGACTCATGCCTATGGCTTTTATGGAGTTAATTCATCTCGTATTTGATCTTCCTCTTTCCCTGCTGCTTTCTACTTTCCCCAGCATTACTGTCTTTTCCAAAGACTCCTGCATTCTCATGAGGTGCCCAAAGTAGGACAGCTTCAGTTTTATCATTTTTGCCTCCAGTATGTAGTTCAGGCTTAATTTGCCCTAGGACCCACTTGTTTGTCTTTCTGGCAGTCCAGGCTGTCTGTCTGTCTGTCTGTCTATCTATCTATCTATCTATCAATCTATCTTTCTATCTATTATAAGCAAACATTTACACTGTCCTTAGTAATCAATGATTCTTCAATAGACCCCATCACTGATCACAGTATACCAATGAGATGCTGAATCTATGGTTGAGAACTTCTGATCTACAGAATACAAGTCCAAATCCCTAAACAAAACCTAATGGAGGGATCTTACAAGTTTGACACCAGCCTACCTTTCTAAATTCATGTGCCGCCATCTTCAGTCCTTTTCTTCAGCCATTCATAGCTTTTCTTTATTCTTGAATGCACCAATTTTTATTCCTCTGTGTTCTTTGCATGTATCTTTTTCTGACCTTCTCTCTCTGGTTAGTGCTTATTTTGCAAGACCCAGTCTAAACAGCATCATGTCTTGGGAAATGTCCTTACCTCTCAGTCAGATCTATTTTTGGTGCTTTGTATATACCTCCACTAGCTCACTTGTCATTCTTTGCTTGCATATTTGTCACTACCAACAACTGCTTTGGCCTCTTACAGAACAAGGACTATAATTTATTCAACTTTTTCTACCCAGTGCCTCCTGCAGTTCCTGGAATATGCTCAAGATATCTGCTTAATGAAAAACAAAACCGAATATTATCCCCAACATACAAATGATCTACAAAGAGCTGAAGTGACCTGCTCTCACCATAGTCAGTAAAAATGCACTGATCCATGCACCTTAAGCCTAGATCTCAATGGCTGTCAACAGAAAGAGGTTTTTTTTTTTGTCTCAATTGATCATTATAGTAGTACAGTTAGTAATTTAAAAGTTTATTTCTTTGTATCTTCTATTACCTGTTCATTAGCTCTGTTATTGAGAGTTACTCAGTTTTCTCTTTCTTTGTACAGAATTAAAGACACAGTTTCTTCCCTCAAAAAGACTACTGTTTAAGGGAACAAAAGACGTATTTAACTCATGGTGATTTGAAGGACATGGAAAGAAATGACTAGTTTAACTTTTAGACTGTTTAGTGGCTGAGATATTTATACTTGGCAAATCCTTGATTCTTGTCGTTAGATTGGGTTTAGGAGTGATACAGAATTGGGTGAACACACAAAAGGAAGAGAGTAAAAAACACATAAAATTGGACAAGAGGTTAGAGCAGACATGGTGAGTTGCTAGTGTGATGTCACATCTTTCACTTCCTTTCCCAAATACATGGGGGACAGACATCACTAATCAATCAAACATGTTTTTCACCTGAGCCCAGATGTGGTCTTAGAATATGTCTCAACACTGAAATGTTCCAGATGTCTTTCATCAACAAAGGAAGGAAGACTAGCCTATCTTTATCTCATCAAAGTGTTCTCCAGAAGGTCTATTCAGGTCAATGTGCTCCCTGTGGTTGGGCAGAGAGTGTTACCTTGATTTCTTTCAGAAAGTGAAGAAAGTATTGCAACTCCAAGCTTGAGCTTCCAGGTGCTTCCCTCTTTTTGTCAAGTTTCTCTCAGGGATTTGGTTCAGTGTCTTAAAATAATGAAGTTCCCAATACAAGTTCTGTGCTTAACTTCTATTTCTACTGGATAATGAGAGGGACCATCCTATCCACAGACTTTATACTTGAGAAGGTAGGGAACTAACATGTACTCAATGGCAAGCAATATGCCAAGTGCTTTATATTTGCATTTTCTTTGTTTTTATAACAACCACATGAGGTGAGTATCATTGTCCCCATTTTACCGATGAGAAAATAGCCTTAAAGAAATTGTCAGTTGCCTAAGATCTTACAACTGGTGAGTGATGAAGATAAGATTCAACCTCAGACCTGTGACATGCAGCATCATGCTATTGAACTCTGGAGAGTTAATTCCTTCTTTCATGGTCTTGATAAAATCTTCTTCTTGGCTTCTTTTCCTTCCACTAAGTACTTATGCTTTTGATAACAGCCTTGAGCTTAACTTTACACTTTCTTGAGCCTTGCAGACTGTAGAGGTAGATGGATAAGGATAAATGTAGATCAGATATGTATTAGAAACAATCAACTTATTTCGGACTTCATGCCTGTCAGGTGTAATTCTAGCCCCCTGGAGATGGTCTTGATGGAAATGGAAAGTGTATTTAGGTTTAATTTTCTTGTGTTCCTTTTGCTGCAGGGCAGCGTCCATACCAGGTGATCACCGCCCGAGTTCACCCAGGAGAGAGCAATGCCAGCTGGGTGATGAAGGGGACCTTGGAGTTCCTGGTCAGCAGTGACCCTGTGGCTAGGCTCTTGAGGGAAAACTTCATTTTCAAGATCATCCCCATGCTCAACCCAGATGGTGTCATCAATGGCAAGTATGTCAGGCACTTGACTCAACCTGGCCCTCATTTATGTCACCACAGTAACATCTTGTCATTTTGCCCAATGGGTGTGATTAGAGAGGGCTTGGTACTCTGGTGGGAATAAATTCTCTTGGGCTTCTATTAGCTGGCACAAATAATATCATACTCTCCTCACACATTGATGTGAGTCTCATAGTTTTTTAAATAGAAAGGTATAGATTCATAGGCAATTAATACCAGAGGGGTGCTTAGAAATAATCTAGCCTGGTACTCCTTTTAAAAAGGAGAAAATTGGTATGCAGGGTGATCAAGTGACCTGCCCAGGTCATAAGATGGTTTAGCAGCAAAGTAAGGACTCAACCTGCGATTTCTTTGCAGTTAAGACCAATGTTTTCATTTGCTTTCTGATGTTTACTGCAGAGAAATGTTTATTTTCAGTTGTATTTTACTGAATTCTGGATACAGCTATAATAAGGGTGTCACCTCATCTAAATGGAATGGCTGAAATGGTTGAAAAATGGCTGAACGTGGAAGGACTGGAAAATGGTTGGCTGAAAGAGAGAAGGTAGGGTGGTGCTTCTCCTCACCTAGCCTCTGCGTGCCTTGGGATTATATACTGGGAAAGATGGATTCTAGTGTTCAATGAAGTCTGTTGGAAGGGATCCGCATTTTCAGGGTTTGTGAGCTGAGGCCCAGATATCAGAGCACGTCCCCAAGGTCCCATGGCCAGTGGGTGGGGGTGGCAGGATTAACATTCATAAATACCTGTCTCAAATTCTGTGGAAAGAGACTAAAGCCCCTTCCTATGGCAATAGATAATTCTTTTTACTATAGAAACAGATGTTGGTATCCCATGGAAAAAACAGAATACAAGATAAACAGAAAAATTGAAAGAAAAAATAATTCCCAATGCTAAAAATGAAAAGGAACTTACAATTTAAAATATCAGTATTAAAGAAGCAAAAACACAAGTTTAGAGAACTGAGAAAAGAGAGCAACAATAAAAAGGTGAAACACAAGAGATTAAAATGAGAATTATAAAGAAAAAAAAGAAAAACATTTCAGAGATAAAATTTAAATGACTTAAAATAAATAAGAATGTTTTAAGAAAGATAAAACAGTAATTAATCTTTTTAAGAAAAAAGTAAATCAATGTGAAACATCTGAGAAAAGACCAGCTTCAAAGGATAAGCACGAAAAAGAATATTGGTAAGTTAAAAATATAAAGATGATAAAATATAAAACAAGATCAGAATAAATTACAAATGGTAAAATATGTTAAATTATGCCAAAATGCAAGCAAGTGAAAGCTATAGGCTGTAAAAATAAAATTTCAATAGGTACAGAAAAAAAGAAGATAAGTAAGGCATCCATGTTTTCCTAATGTTTCCTGGTTTTGTAGCTGCCAGACTCCATTTTTTTTTGGAGGAGCTTTTTGATGGGCAGAGAGTAGAGTCCTTCCTCTTTGCCTGCGGTGACTGGTTGGTCTTCAAGCACCTGCGAGGCATAGGAGGCCAAGTCGTTCAGTAAGGAGCATCACTTAGGCCTCTGGCAGCAATTAAGCTTCTTAGATCTCAAGCTGGATAAAGGCCTAAAGCAGTGTTCACGCTTGGTCCAACAGAACTCAGCTGGCTCCTGCCATGTGCTTCTTTCGCTCTGGAGAACACTAGGACAGCAAGGAATGGTTCCTCCCTGCTTAGGGGCCAAGCATTTTACTAGCAAGCTTTCTCAGCCCAAATAGATGGAAAAGAGCAACGCAAGCCATCTTGAGGGACGTGATCCCCTTTCAGCATTTTGTCAAACAAGTTGGCTCTTTTCTCCTTCCATTAAATTGTCTGGGGTCTGGTAGAGAGTGGAAAGAACGCTGGCTTTACAGTCATAACTCTAGTTTGGAATTCTGGCTCTTCTCCTGATCTACTCAGATTTCTCTCCTGTTGGAAGAGGAAGATAACGTGCTCCCTATTGACCTGTCTGGGAAAAGATCTCATAAGCCCAAGGCAATATTTAAGCTCGGGGATAAGTATTGTAGTTTCTTCCGTTTCAAGTGCTCATACCTCCAAATCAGGGGCTTGATCCAGGTCTTTGGTTGAAAGGTTAATGTTGTCTCAGTCACTGAGCATCCTTCTGGCCTGGACACAGTTATTTCCAGCTCACAGCTGGTTGCTTTGGACTCCCTAATGGCAGGTCAGCTTCTTCTTAGTGACACTGCCATTCATCATCATTACGATTATTTATTATGACTAAAATTACCCTTTTTATTTATAAAGCATCTTTCATCGTGGAGCTCAAGGCACTTTGTAGATCGCTTGAATCACCCAAACAATTTTGGCTGAAAGGGACTTGGAAATCATAGTGTTATTCTACTGATAAGAAAATCCATAGGTCATAGCACATCATTATCAAAAGCCTTGAGACTGCCATGGATGCATAACATCTCACTATAAAAGAGGTTGTAAGTCTCAGCTTATGAACCCTTCTTAGAACCTACCTGAGATATGGTTTATCTAACTTCCACTTGAACTCTTTCTGTGATTGATATTCCATTTCATGGCATGCCCATTCCATTGTGCATAATTAGATGGGCTTGTGTTTTTCTATATTTTGATCTCTGCCCTGTAAACTTCACACATTTTAGGCAGTCTTACCTTGGGGTACTCCATGGGCAAAATGTAATCCCCTTTTTACATGCCTTAACTTGCCCGTGTGAAGTCTTCTCCAAGTTTGATACAGTTCGTAAACATTGCTTATGTGACATTGTTCCTGAAGTTCTGGTCTTCATTGATTTTTCTCTGAACACATTCTTAATAACAGGCTTCTTAAAGGTAACAGAACTGCCCTGTGTGTGGTCTGACCAGCAAAGAGGCAATCTTCACATAAAGATTAGAGAGCCTAAACCTGAACTTGGCACTTGCTAGACTGTACTCTTCTTTCCCAAGTAATCTTGGCCCCCATGGAGTTTGCAAGAATGTTTAAAAGTAGAGTAGTTTCCTTTTGTGGTGACGGTAATGGAGCCTCTAAGGATGGCTGAGAGGTTTTGATAACTGTGGTCAGGGAGACAAAGCCAGGATTTTCTAGCAAAAATGCAGCGGGTCTTGCCAAGCCAAAGATCTCTTAGCAACACATGTCTGTAAGAGGAAAACAAAAGAAAAAGATGGTTTCCAAAAGAATCAGTCTACCGTCTTGCTGGACTGGTAGTTTGTATTGAATTGGGCTGAGTTCTAAAGAATCCAGGAGGACCAATGCAGTGGTCCCTTGACTCTTATACTTCTTTCCAACATGGGCTAAAAGAGCAGGGAGTCAACAAATTAGGTTAGAGCAGCAGTGATAATGGTGGCTTGATTAGAGTGGCAAGAAGGCAGTGATTGTGGAACTGCTTAAAAGGTAGATACGGGGGGCTGGCCCTGTGGCCGAGTGGTTAAGTTCGCGCGCTCCGCTGCAGGCGGCCCAGTGTTTCGTCGGTTCGAATCCTGGGCGCGGACATGGCACTGCTCGTCAGACCACGCTGAGGCAGCGTCCCACATGCCACAACTAGAGGAACCCACAACGAAGAATACACAACTATGTACCGGGGGGCTTTGGGGAGAAAAAGGAAAAAATAAAATCTAAAAAAAAAAAAAAAAAAAAAAAAAAAGGTAGATACGGCATGTAAATGAGGGAGAGGAAAAAATCTGGCATGATTCCCAATTTTTGGACTTTGGTTGTTGGGTGGATGACAGTGACAAAATAATTTATAGGAAGTCAACACACAGCCCAGCATTTTATTCACAGGAGAATCAGAGTATATTTCTTCTTAGTATATATACAACTCTACAAACTTGATTATCTTCTTCCAAGGCCATTGTGGAACAGAAACAAACAACAATAAAGAGAAAAGGGCATGCTATTAGTAAACACACCAAGGTATTAAGAAGTAATAGCTGAATGCTCTAGGGGAAACAAATAAAACTATAAAAATTGGGTAAAAAATCTTGACAATTTTAACCGTCTGAGAGGCATTTAAAGTTAGTGCCAATAGTCTTT